AACTGTTCTCTTAACCGCCTGCATTAAGTATCACGAAATGAGTTGCCCTGAAAGGAACCATCTGAATAAAGAGGCTTTAATGCTTTTATAACTCCTTACTTGCATGACCCCGGTCACCGCTGTTGCATCCAGAGCTTCCTCTCCCTCTTCTCCCTCTCTTGCCTTTAATGGAGGGGAGTTCTCCACACCAGGTGTTCTTTCTCTCTCGGCTGCCAGGTGCTGGCAAATGGTGCTGCCATCCATCCCATGTGGGGGAAGAAGGCAGGCACAGCCTCTTCATCATGACTCTTCCCTTCCCGGAGGCCCTTGGGACGCCAGCTGAAGAAAGGCCACAGTCAGGGCCCCCGCCACACATAGTCTACTTTCTCCAGATTCATTATAATGCTTCCTTCATCTTTCCTCGGGAGTTTTTCTTTTCGAAACACTTTCTGATGTGTGGCCTCATTTTATGTTACATTAGCTGACAACCAAACATCTCACCAAGTATCAGCTGGGAATACAATTCATCCTCACTGTGCTGTGCCATCTTGCCAAGTTCTGTCTTTGTTACTCGGCTCTCACTCAGAAAGGAATGAATTTGAATTACTTGATGCTGTGGTTGTCTCCTTAAAGAAAGCTGGTGCTGGCACACCTTCGGACTGTGTCTCTGTGAATGTACTTAAACCTTCCAGATTCAGTGCCATTCCTCTTCTCTCTTCTTTTCTCACCATTTAAATGAAACCTTCCTATTTTGCCTCCTCCTATTCAATGGGATTTTACTCAAGGGCCTCAAGGGCTTGTTTTCATTTTCTTTTACCTGAGAAAAGATAATTCACGTAGAAAGGCATTTTTTAGTTTAAACATAAGGCTATTACTCTAAGTTAGGAGAATTTTTACACTGCTTGCTTCCCCAGGGGGGATTTTTGAACCGGCTTGGGTTCAGAAATGAAATTCTTGTTCCGGGTGCCTTGATGGAGCAGTAATGGCAGCATCCGGGGCCCAGTCACACAGATGTGGTTCAGAAAGGGAGTGTTACCTTGTACAGCTGTGACCCAAGCCTGGACCTGGATCTTAATGTTGGAAATTTTTTAAGAAATGGGATTTTTTTCTTACAAAGATTGCAATAACGTTGCCATTGTATTGTTAACCTAATCACTACCTCATGTTTGCCATGTAACAAAGTTTTGTGTTTTTACTAGCATTAAGCACAATATTCTTTTAATGCTTTCTCCTTTCTGTGTTTCCATTTTTTCTCAAATCTATACTGTGGATTATCAGATAAACTTAAATGGGAAGGTGGATGCTGGGTTAGGCAGAGTTTGGATAACACTGTGTGAGTGGGGAGGATGGGAGGTATGATGTTGCTGAATGGGTTGTGTGTCTGAAGTCTGGTCACTGATGTTCCTTGGCCTCTGGCTTCTATTTACCCTGCTTCTCTCCACCTTCGTTGCATATTTGGAAAGTGTCTTAGAGCGAGCACAAAGCCCAGGGAAATCTACTCTTACAGTTTTGGTTGTGTTCTCCTGGTTTCCACCTGATAACATAGCTTATAGAGAACTTTTCAAGCTTCTTGAGAACTCCCGAGATTCCTATTTTGTGTGCTTACAGCCAAGATAATTGAAGCACTGTCAGTCTCTTTCAGGGGCTTCTTCAGGGAGAGTGTGATACTATTTGGGATGTTCAGATAGACCAGAGGGAGCACTACTTGCAGCTCTTCCTAGAGCTCTACTGCTGGTTCTGTGTGTGATGAAAACGAAATGGAATTATAGCCCACAAGACATAGCAAGGCAACTTAGTCATTCCATAGTCACAGCCCCTGTAATTTTCAAAGCCTCTGATTTTTAGTCTGGTGATTGTTCATTCCCTTCTTAAGGAAAACCAGATTCCTCAGCCCTTCCCTGTTCCCGAAATAGCTTCCCATAGGTTGTGAGGGCAAGTGAGGTGGGTCCAAGCCCGTGAAGAAGCCAGGAACCCACATTCTCCCCTCCTTAGTCTTCTGCTTTGTCTGCCTGTCCACATTTCCTCTCAGGGAGAGAGACCAGAAGTGGTCTTGGAGGAGAGATGGAAAGAAGCAGAGTGTAACTAGTGATGCAGAAAGGGAGGGTGTGGTTGTAGATGAGGGATGAGGTTTGGTGCCATCCTCACTGCCAGCTGTGTAATTCTCTCAAAAAAAGGAAGACAGGATAGAGATAGTCAGGTCATACTAATAGATGGTTTATCAAGCACCCACATGCCTGGAGAGGCCTTAAAGACCAGTAAGTGGAGGTGTGATGATATGTGTGGGTATATTAATATGATATTCAAATCAATCAAGTAAAACCAAAAATATTTTAAACAGCAAGAGTCATGAAAGCACAGTTCTCACAAATATATCACCTTCTTCTGCACATGGCCCCTCTCTCACATAGACACACATTCAAGCAGACTGTGAACCTCTGAGCCCTCCCTATTAGGAGGCATTTAAGGGAACAAAGAGGAAACAGCATATTGACCACATGCTGCTGCTTCTTAGGTACCTGCACTTGTGTCTCACCTAGTCCTGCAGAGCATCCCTGTGCTGCAGGGGTGTTCTCCTTGGTACAGATGAAGAAATTTCCAGGGGAGTCACAGTGTTAGCCACAACAAAAAGTGTCCGAGCCAGATTTCAAAACCAGGTCTGCCTGACGCCAAATACTTTGAGTGGATTCTCTCCCCACTAAATTGCTGTCTCAGCAGAAAACTACTGTAGTATCTTTACTTGGTTTGAGTCAAGGTAGTGATTCTTAAATGACTCCAGGATAAGAGGAGCTCCTGTCCAGGTTTCACAAAAAACAGATATCCCCAGTTAGGGTTGCTTTCCCCTCACTTCCTTAACTACAGTCAGCATTGATTCTTTCTTACTCCCTGATAACATTAGGTTATGATAACATTAGGTGACAGAAAATAAAATCAGCAAATATAGATACTGCTTAATAGATCAGTAAAATGTGAGAATTGGCAACAAGGTAGGTCTTATCTAAAGAGTATGGACATAAATACGAAGCACAGGCTTTAAAAGCATTTCAGATAAAGATAACTTTGTTTGCTAAACATGCATTTTTAGGTGTAAAAGAAAACAGTCTTGCTTCTGAGCATCTTATTTATAATCATGTCCTGTGGATGACATAAAAGAAGTCACGTGTATGCAATTTTAATCAGGCCTTACAGCTAGCACCATAGCATGTACCAGCAAAAGTTATGTGTGGACTGGATGTTTGTGACCTAAAAATTCCTATGCTGAAGCGATAATCACTCACAGTGTGATGGTAATAGGAGGCAGAGCCTTTGGAGGTAATTAAATTAAGATGAGGTCATTGGGGTGGGGCATGATGGAATTAATGCCCGAATAAGAAGAGAAGAGAGATCATAGTGCTCTCTCTATCTCCTGCCATGTGAGGATGAAGCAAGAAGGCGACCAACTGTAAGCCAGGAAGACAGCTCTCACCAGGAACCAAATTGGCTAGCTCCTTGGACTTCAGCCTCCAGAACTCTGAGAAATAAGTGTCTTGTGTAAGCCACCAGTCTGTGGTACTTTGTTATGGCAGCCAGGCTGACTAAGACATGTTAGTTGAAATGAAACGATCTCAGTCTCTAATAAAATGTTGTCACCTTTCAGCGACTTCATTTTGCTTCTGTTCCTTTTACCTCTGAATTGCTGTACTCTCCTCTAATTTTGACTGTTATCCTCAGTGATTAGAGACAGAAAGCACAGATTAAGGCTTCTCTTGTCCTTTCTCCAACTTCTGGCTCAGTGGAGTTCATGCCATTTCAGGAGCCCTTCCATTTTAGGAAAGACATCTGCTGTTGTCGTGCATCCCTGCTCCCTAGCCTTATTAATCATCTTCAAAACCCCACCCATCCCAGGTGTCACCTCTCTTAAGCCTGGGTGTCTTTGGCAGGACCCTTCATAGTCATCCACACTCCCTCTGCATATTTAAAAAAAAATTTTTTTTAAGTTTCTATTTAAAAGCTCCAAGGGAAAATTAGGTAAAGTAATGACATTTTCTATGATTATTTGCCATATTGGCCTTGAGGCAGAAAAATCTGTTAGGAAAACTGTTTGCTCTTTTCCAATGTGCGGGCTGTGCTCTCTATTCTGAAGCTGCTGTGTTTTGTAATAACTGGTTTGACACTTATCTTTTTTAATGCACAAAGGAAATTGTCAGAGTTCCTTTGTTATATGTATTATGTTCACTTGGAAGCATTTTTTTACTCTCTTTCCCTTGATAAAACTGAAGTTTATGTGGTAAAAGATGTCGGCATGACATGAAGTGCCAGAATTTGGGCAGTATCAGAGTAGAGTAAGATTCAAATGAATCATTAATTGGTATTTTTTTAGAACCAGTGTTTATAAGCAAAGCTGTCAACTTAGATCACAGCCTAACCTCATAGGATCTTGTTACTTTATCAGAGTAATTACTCGTCAGTGACTTTACTATGCCTTCCTGGAGTGGTTGAAAGTGGCCTTTCTGTGCCAGTTCACAGCACACACCACACCCTGCCTCCCTCAGGCCTGTGCTCATTCTTCGCAGGGCGTGGGAAGGGAAGATGTGGCCTCAAAGGTACACTGAACTGTGCTTTTAGTTTCATATCCCTGGGAGGAATTCGTGATCAAATTATTCTGGCTTATATGTTGTGCTGCTTTAAGAACAATTTCTAAAGTGCCCAATGGTTAAACTTAAAAACTGCTTCATGTACTTTAAATGAACCTTTGATATTCAACAATTAGATTATACAGAGTGGAAACCACAATGGCAATTCCAGATTAATTTTCTCCGCCTGACAAATGGACCTTCAGGAGATTGCGTGGGCATTTCCAAACTTGCTTTCCAGTTCACCTTACTTAGAGGAGGGCTCTTGGAGTTCCCTGCCATAGGAGGACTGGGGAGAAGACCGCTGAGCCTGAGTCATCTTGTTTCTAGGCCTGGCCCTGCCACCTCCTCTCCCAGGGACCAGCAGAGAACTGAGTGTCTGTTTTACGCATTTCAGGGGTTGAGCTAGACCTTGTCTCAGGTCTCTTCATTGCCCTAACCAGCTATGATTCAAAGTGGGAGTATGGCAGCAGCTTTTGGCAAAAAAACAACAATAGGAATCCAGGAAATCATGGCCATGCCAGTCTTCTGAGAACCAAACAGTGGCTCCTGTTAGAATAACTTCATTCTGAACAATCAGCAGATATTGTGTCTCTATAGAAGACATTGCACTTGGCTCTCTGGGGCAGGGGGGAAAAAGTCAGTTTGATGGAAGTGGGAGCTAAAGGCACAGAAAAGAAATGCATGAATCATGACAGCATGTGCTCTGTCGGAGGAGTGTTTTGTGTAGTAATGCTGAGAGCAGGGATTGAGGTACTAAGGGAGGCCTTGCAGAATCAGGCTGCAGAGCAGTCGTGTGCCAGCCTGCACCCTCTCCAATCTGGGACCCCTTGGGTTTAAACTGGCAGTCGGACATCCCTCTCACAATCCGGGACTGCTGGCTCCTAACCACTCGCCTGCCTTCCTGCCTGATTGCCCCTAACCACTTCTGCCTGCCAGCCTGATCGCCCCCTAACCACTCCCCTGCTGGCTTGATTGACACCTAACTGCTCCCCTGCCAGCCCAATTGCTCCCAACTGCCTTCCCATGCAGGCCTGGTCCCACCGCAACTACCCTCCCCTGCCGGCCATCTTGTGAAAACGTGAGGGCGGCTTCTTGTGATGACGTGGGGGTGGCCATCTTTGTGGCTGCCATCTTGTGATGACACGGGGTGGCCATCTTGTGACATGAGGGCATGAGGGTCAATTTGCATATTACCTCTTTATTATATAGGATGTGATTATTTGAGATTTCAAAAAATAATACTTTCCTATAGAATTTTTTTAATCTTTTGAGAATGACTGTTTTTGTTGTTGTTGATACTATAACAGATACTTCCCACCCCCCCTTTACCCAATTCCACCCCGCTCCCACCTACACCTCCCCTGGACTTCACCACACTGTTGTTTGTGTCCATGGGCTATGCATATATTTTCTTTGGCTAATCTCTTCACCTTCATATAGAATTTAATGTGGCAGTTGAGGAGTTTGAACTTTAAATTGTAGACATTAAATACCATCTAAATTTTTTTAAATCATGATGTTGACTAAAATTTGACTCTAGAAAATAAATGTAATTGTATCCTAGAAAGAAACCGGAGGGTGCCTCTACCCTCGGATAGGTAGGAGTATCATGAAAGAAGGCTGTGAGAACTGATGCTAACTGATACTGATTTATTGATTCATTCATTTATCTGGACCAGGAGCTGTGCCAGGCCCTGGGAATGAGGATGGCTTGGATCAGTGTTAGTCACTGTGAGAACTCTTGAGAATCACTGCACAGACTCTTCACTGGTTTCCCTGTTTACACTTTGTTCCCCTTTGTTGTCCCCCCAGTTCTTTCTAAGGCATAAGTCAGATCATGCATATAACCCTTTAGGTTTCCTGTTATACCCAAGATAAAACCCCAGAAGCCTTAATTTGGCTGCTGCACTGCCCATTTATTACCTCCAACCTTACCAACCTTTTTAGCATTTTCTAAAATGTACTGAGTTTTTTTCTGCCCTAGGCTTTTCCCACATGTTGCATTTCTTCCTAGAATACTCTTTCCCCAATCTTCACCTAGCTACCTCAGACTTACTCTATAGTCTTACCCCTTATCTTAAAAGTAAGTCCTCTCATAGAACCCAGGTCTTTTTCTTTACAACACATACCACAATTTGTAATGATACCTTTATTTGTGTATCTATTTAATGTATGACTCCCCCCCCTAGACTGTAAGCTCCATAAGGGCAGAGACTATGACTGTCTTGTTCACTTTTGCCCAGTACCTGTCATTGTCCTTGTCATATGGCAGACCTGAAAGAATAAATAAAAGGTGAATAAGACAGACATAGTCCAATCTTCTTAGAGTTTATAATCTTACTGAGCTTCCACATTGGCTCTGAGGGTAAGAGAAGAAGAGTAATCAGAAACGATGACTGCAAGAACCTTAATTTAGATGGTCAGTAGGATAAAGATGCCATTGACAGACATGGTTAGGCTAAGTCAAATTAGGAGAAAAATGATGAATCCAGTTTTAGGCATGAGGAATTTAAGGATCAAAGTGGGATAATTGGGATGATTCCCTGGAAAAATTCAGCATGTCAACACCAATCTCTTGCCTTAATAAAGCAAAGCCTTAATCCAAACCAATTGTTCATTTTTTAATTTGGGGATATTATTCATGAGTCTGAACTCTCTTTTTTTTTATTGGCACCCAGGAAGTTTTTCCCCCTCAGAATATTGCATTTATTCTTCTAAATTGCAGATGAGGAAATAGAAAGAATAAAGCTAGCATTTTAGTCTCCCGTGGCATGCTGCTATCCCCATTACTGAAGCCCTAACACCTCCCCAATTCTATTTGGAGGAGAAAGAAAGTTGACATTTTCTTTCTTCCTCCCTACCCCAAACTATCATAAACTCCCATTTCAATTATATTGGGAAAATATCTCAATTACAAAGTTGGGGAGATTCTATAGTGTTTTCATGTACTTACTGGATCCAACCATAGTATCATGCTTGTAATACTACATTTTGAATATAATGCTTAAAGTCTTGGTATTTTGCAGAATTGCAAAGATAAATTTAAATTGGAAGCTGATTTTCCCCTAGAAATATTTTTTTGCTCTCTGAAATGTGAGTAATGCAACAATGGACTTGATTATTTCTTGAGCAGGATTATAGAAAGCCAAACCTAGATACAAGTACATCTGTTTACATATAATAGACCTAGCAGACTTTTAGAAAATGAATGAAAATATGAACCCAAACCCCAATTCCTATAGATGCTTTTTGGCCTTGCGTCTATAGAAGTTATAAAATGTATCCCACGACTGATGGGTCATTTTTTACTTGTCTTCAAGATTGAGGCAACCCTTGAGATGTTAGGTGCAATCTAAAGGTCATACATGATTTTTTAAAAAGTTACTTTAAAAACCAAGGCATTGTCTTTTGCTGCTTTCTGTGGCAGTGCCCAGCTCTCCTTTCCACGACCCGACTCAGCCTGACACAGTGGTGCTTGCTGCTTAACTCTCTGTGAAATGTTATTTAAATATTTCTAACTTATTGTTTCATGCTGGGTTTTATGGAACATAAATTTCTATTTAGGCCACTAATTTACAGAAGTTTGTTACTAATATCACTGCAGGCTCCATCCATCTAAAAATATTGCTCCTAAGCTACGCTAAAAATATGTTATATATTTGCAGTGTATGTAAACAGTGTTGTGTTTTATTAGTGTGCAGTGCTTTGTCTATGGAAATGTTCGTATTGCAGCATATATTTAGAAGGGATAGGAACTCAAGTATGGTGGAAAGACTACAGAAAAGTGAAATCCCTGCAGGATGGGATTTATGGAATTTTCAGAGTGCTTTGCAGAAAATCTATACAATACCTACATTTTCTACAAAGACAAAGTAGAATCTTGCAGAATGTTCTGGGAAGCTCTGTTATTTCATGTATTCCCCATATTTCTAAGTGGTTAATAAAGGATTGAACTGTAAATATATTCATCTCAGAAGAGGCAGTCATTATTCCTTAATGACCATGTTTTCACCTTCAAAAATTATTTACTAAATGGATCAGAAATAATGTAAGTTGGGTATTCTTTGTGGTAGTAAAGAAAAGTAATTCCAGGGAATGACATTTTGGTTTTTTTCTCTAAGTGTCCTTGAACTGGAGGAGATGATTTAGGGCAGCGGTTCTCAACCTGTGGGTCGCAACCCCTTTGGGGGTCGAACGGCCCTTTCACAGGGGTTGCCTAAGACCATCGGAAAACACATATATAATTACATATTGTTTTTGTGATTAATCACTATGCTTTAATTATGTTCAATTTGTAACAATGAAATTGGGGGTCACCACAACATGAGGAACTGTATTAAAGGGTTGTGGCATTAGGAAGGTTGAGAACCACTGATTTAGGGGATGGAAGGTTTAAGACTTTGAAAGAGTTTTTTTGGATCATTTTGACCGACCTTGTTACTACAAGTCATTTAGACTGGTTACCTATAAGTATTCAATTCTGAGTTCTAATTCTGTCCTCCACTAGTAAAAGTGAGGGAAAGAACGTAAATTCATTATGATTAAGCCCTAACTACAGAAGTTAGCGTTGTTTCTGATGTCCTGATGGGTCTGATTCCCTGGCTGAGGCAGCCTGCATGTCTGCCCAGTTGAAAAGATGATGTGTCTCAAAAACAGACTGATATCAGTGGCCAATTAAGCCACCCAGAGATGAGCTTTTATCACCTTTCAAGGGTAGGTTGATATTTGATAGCCAGTTTCATAAGTGGAAAATCTTACAACTTGTTTAAAACACATTTTCAGATAATTAAGTCCATTGGTTCTGCCCCTTAAATAGTGATGCTGTGGTAAGAAGTTTATTATCCTGTATTTATATGGTTCCCCAGAGCTCCAAAGCCGTAATCTGTGATGAAGATTTTTTACAGACAACTCCCAAAGAGTTTTAATGTAGCAAATGAATCTTGGGAAAACTGCTCTTTCTAATTTACTGCTTTGGTCAGTGCATGTTGAAGAAGCAGTGGATCATATAACTGGATGTGATTTTAAAGGCCTCTGAGGTGGCACTTTCCAGTTGATACTGGCATTTTGCTTGGCCTGTGGGACTGAGGCAGGAGGTCTTCCAAGGCTCATTTCTCCTAAAGGCAGGTAAGTGTGGGAGGTGCTTTATTGGGAGTGCGCTGCTCCTCATGCCTCTAGATGGCTCATGGTAGCATCACTCCGCTTAAATAGACAGTGACTCCACCAGCTCCTCTCTTGTTGGTTGTCTTTTCCCTAGAAACTTCAAAAATGTTCACATTAAAAACGATACAGTATTTTTCAAAAGCTGACCATTAAGTCATGGGACAGTATCTGGGTAATAAAGGTTTTCCAAAAAAAAGCTTTTTCCTGACTTCACAATAAAATGAGCACCCCCTAACGAGCATTATGTCCATGGGCAGGGCATTGCCTGCAATTCCCTGTGCTGTAATCCACCCATCTTGAACCTATGCTTTCATTTTAAGACCAGACAGACCTCCTTTGGCTAGATGGAAATCCTGTGGCCGGGACCAGGGTTGTCCTCCCATCCAAGCTTGGCTCTCATCTAAGCTTAGGCCTGAACTGGGCAGGAAGATAAATGTGAAAACCAGACTGTGTTTCATGGCCAGGTTCTTTCTCCACTTGTCATTTTCTTTCCTCCCCTGGTTATTTCTTCTGTTCTTACAGAAAGGAAAACAAAGCCCATTTAACAACTGCAAAGCACACAGTCTACAGGGGCCTTAAAGATTACTGGCAAC